CAGGGTCAGAGGAAGAAGCAGAATCCCTGCCAAGCAGGGAGCCTGATGCGAGACTCGATCCAGGGACTCCAGGATCATGACCTGAGCCCAAGGCAGTCGCTTAACCAACTGAGCCACCCAGGCGCCCCTAGCAGAATTATTCTTACTACAAGATAATACACAAAGCATTTCAGTATGGAACTTGAGATATTTCATCGTCTTAACTGATCATCAGTTTTGGGTCGGAAGGGAAACGGGAGGTAATGCCTGCTATTCTGGAATCTTAGTGAAAGTTTTACATACTTTAGTGGGTCGCATGGATAGATGCTTGAACTTAAATTCAAATCTTGAATTCTAAAAGACGTTTTCTCCATCACGTATCTTCCTTGTACCAAATCCATTATCTAGCCAGAAGTGAGAGGAGACCCAAGAGTGACAGTGAATTTAATGGGACAATGCAGAGATGGATCATGAAGCTAGCTCTCAGGAGAACGTGAACAGCTAGGAAGTCTTGAAAAGTCCTTGACAAATTTTAGAAATAGCAAATTTGCAATTGTGTCACTTAAGTGTTTGACCCTCATATTAGGGCCTAAATTGAACCTCCAATGAATCATGCAAACGTGGCCTTGTAATTCTATGGGAGGAGCTCAAATAATCTTGCATATTTTTTAGTAACAAATTGTCAAATTTGAATAGTTGGATAACAAAGTACAGTTCAAATACATCAAACTATATAAGAATTCTTGCAGTGTGGGAAAATTAAAATTCGAAGTCTAAAAATTTTTTCTGCAGTTGTGCTTCTTCAATGCCTCAACACAATGTCTGGCATGTGGTGGGTGTAAGCACTCTGGAAGTCTCAGATGAATGCGCTTCTTGATCACCCAAGTGTCTTAGCAGAAAGTTTTAAAGGAATTCGACTTCAGAAGTTAAAATGTGTACTGCATTGGGGCGCCTGGGTGGCTCAGTCATTAAGCGTCTGCCTTCGGCTCAGGTCATGATCCCAGGGTCCTGGGATCGAGCCCCACATCGGGCTCCCTGCTCCGCGGGAAGCCTGCTTCTCCCTCTCCCACTCCCCCTGCTTGTGTTCCCTCTCTCACTGTGTCTTTCTCTGTCAAATAAATAAAATCTTAAAAAAAAAATTGTGTGCTGCATTATTGGAGGTATGACAATATGGTAAAAGCATTATGTTTTTTACATTCATAAGTGGAAATGATTTGGTCTTTGGTTTTCAACTAGGTAAAAAGTGGAAAATGTAGACCAACCACTCCGTTGTTCAGATGATATTTAATGCTGATTTTATTTTATTTTATTTTTTTAATTTATTTATTTGAGAGAGAGCACGAGAGAGAAGAGGATCAGAGGGAGAAGCAGACCCCCAGCTGAGCAGGGAGCCCGATGTGGGACTCGATCCCAGGACTCCAGGATCATGACCTGAGCTGAAGGCAGTCGCTTAGCCAACTGAGCCACCCAGGCGCCCTTAATGCTGATTTTAAAACCCTCTTGACTCTCACAACATCCTATGAAAAAACTCAAGACTTAATGATACAAAAACTCATTCAAGAGCCTACAAATAGTTAATAGGGTGTGGGGATTTGGGCCCAAATCTGTCTGATTCCAAAACCTATGCTTTTAATGAGTGTTAACGTGTCTCCAGTAACTCCATTGATTTGGTAAACTCTGGATAGAATTTTATAAATTGAATTTGAATCCGAAAGTAGATTTTTTTGTGTATTTTGGTGGAAGTTTGTGTTGATTTATTAGAAAGTATTCCTTGGAGAATTTGATATCGTGAAACTTACAGATTGTGCACAAGAGAAAATTCAGTAATACTAGCTGTGTGTATTGGTATATATAGTATATTCAAATTATTGCGTTTACAGTAAGTTTATATAACTGGTGTCTGATATCAATATCTGTAGAATTAATCCTAACTTTTATTTCCTATATTGATGCTATCCTCTGTATTAAAAAATAACCACTAGACCAGTTTTTAAATGGAATGGGTTTGTAGGCCAGAAGAGACAGAAAACTTACCAGAAGGGCATGGAATCCAGTGGGGAAAAGGACAGACTCTGCATTTTGTTCCAGTGTAGCTAAAGCAATAGGCAACCAGTGTATGTAACTATAAAATAGTCTGTCGAAAACCTATTGTAACTTACACATCTAAATAAAGAAGGAACAGGGAGGGGAGTGGCTCTCGAAGTTACGAAAACTTATGCATGCTACGTTCGTCACGTTCTGTAATGTTTGCCTGCAAACCCATTTTGCAATACCCCTAAGTATTCTTAATGATTTTTTTAACCAAAATTGGTATTATCCAAATTTGTAACAAGGCTATCCATATTCACCGAACTGACTTGAGCTAATTAAAAAATAATACAATCCGTTTTCGAAGAAATGAAGGGTTGTAGCATTAAGGTTATACGAGCGTACTACAGAATTTTGAAAAACTATTTCAAAAGCGGAGCATCAAGTGCACTGAGGTTTTTTTTTTTTTTCCTCAGCCTACTTCTTTTTTTTTATTTTTTTTATTTTTATTTTTTTTATTCTTATGTTAATCCCCATACATTACATCATTAGTTTTAGATGTAGTGTTCCACGATACATTGTTTTGCACTGGGGTTTTTAAACCTAACTGCACACCAGGATTTTCTGGGGAAGCCTTAAAACAAAACTAATGCCTCTTGTAGGTTTTGACTTGGTAGGTCTGAGGTGATTCTTTTGTTCAGCTAAATTTGGGAACCATTGCTTTTGATTAGAGGTATTAAAGCATATAAATTCCTGATTTGACTAAGAATAGAACGTTCATTCGATATGCAAGTTGTGAGATTCTCTTTAACCCCTGACACATACTTACCACACCGCAGCTGGTTAAGGCAACATGTTGATCGAGTCAAGAGTTTTGATTCCAAAGTGGGCCAGTTAGTCATGGTCACAGACAACAGTATTAATCACAACCCACCAATTGCAATAGTGGATCCTCTTAAATGGGAGGGAAAGGATGAGTCCGTAATCTCGCCCTCATAGTCAAAGAGCAACCTGTCATCTTCGAGTTTTCATCAGGCAGTCCCACAGGGAGAAATTGGATCCAGAAACCCAAGTGTTCAAAGTTCAGTACCTTTATGCCACTAGTCTAAGAACCATTGGTTGGGAAGCAGTTTAGTGAAATCTGGGTAACAAAAATTGGTATGTTTCTGCAGCCAACTTTGTGAGATCATAAAGTATAAGCCATAGTCTCAGCTATTATCAGTGTGATCCAAATGGTGTGAAGTGTTTGCAGTGAAATTTAGTCTTTTGTTTGACGCTCATCCACTTAATCTGACATGAGCTGACTCCCTTAAGAACATGATACTCCCGGGACGCCTGGGTGGCTCAGTTGGTTAAGCCGCTGGCTTCGGCTCAGGTCATGATCCCAGTGTCCTGGGATCGAGTCCCACATCAGGCTCCTTGCTCGGCGGGGAGCCTGCTTCTCCCTCTGCCTGCCTCTCCCCCTGCTTGTGTTCTGTCTCTCTCTCTGACAAGTAAATAAAATCTTTAAAAAAAAAAAAAACATGATACTCCCAATTCCCTAATACCCAAATCTGACTTTTGGATTATTTCTCAGTAATGAGCTTTGTAGAATCATCCATGTTCTCTCCTTGTACCAGTGATTTAGGAAAATACATGTTTTTAATTGTTTTTCTCGTTCTTGAAAACAAAGTCAAGCCTCCTAAAAATCACTCCATCAGATTGGTGTGTAGAGTAAGTAAGATCTAAGGGTATAAGGAAATCCACAAGCTCCTCCCCAGGCAAACCACATTCTCAAGGTTGATGAAACAGAGAGGGCCCCCTTCCAGCTTGTACTTTGGCCCCTGAAGGTGTGTTGTGCTCGTGACCCTGGCCACAATTATTGCTGCTTCACCCCAAGTGTGGATACACAGCCTATCAATGTTCACTTGTCTTTATACCTTTTACTTCTCCATTGGCCTCAACTATGAATCCAGTGGTAGATCTGGATGACAACCAGCATTACTGCTCCTGAGGGAGATTTTGCCTCTGTAGCTTCTCTTAGAAGATTTGGAGCTTGAATTTACCAAAAGAGCCCCTGGTAGCCTGCTGTCACTGTAACAAGTCTTACCTGCCTATTACTTAGTTCTCAAATAACTTCATTCCAACCTGCTAATAACAACAGCATACCCCCTTCTGTAGAGTTAATAGCCCTGCATATTAACCCAAATTGTTTCATTAGCCTTATTAAATACTTCATGCTCTAATCAACTGAATTTATGGTCTAGAAACTTGCATTTATAAACCAAACTAGTTCATACTATTCTTCCCTCTCCTTTGAGCTAGTGTAACTTCTTGAGATACAGTGCTTATCTAAATTACGAACTTCCTGCAGCCCTTCCTTAAAAGGCCCATTTTTCCTACTTATTTTTTGCAATCAATATGACCAAAAAAATGAGTTTACTGAAAGTTACAATCCAATCACATTGGTGAAATCCAGTTTTGTGCAAATGATCTGCACATGTATGTGTGCATATGGATACGGGAGTACGTGTGCACATGGGTGTGCACAGTTGTGTATGCATGACGAGTGACATTAGATCTTCGGAGTAGTACATAGCTGATATGTAGATTGATAATTTCTGTTCTAAATTACTAGATATATAGTTTAATGGGAAACCACTTAATGAGTTAAACTTGTTTTATTTCACTACCTTTGCTAAGAAACAGTGTATTATCAAATATTAATAAAATTCTATGTTAGGCAAAAAATGTACAGGCATATGCAAGCCTACATAGATGGTACTCTTTAGGAAATTTGTTGACTGAGAAATAAAGTTGTATTTGTAAGTTAATTCCCCATGGTTAAGTGTGTCATTGTCAGACATAACAATGTAAATAACTCCCCTCTTTGGTAAAAAAAAAAAAAACTACTAGAAACAGATAAACATATAAAGATGTCTTCCTATATACAAAAATGTGATATTTAGTGCAACCAGAGATTTACATAATTTATATTCTTTTTATAATTTCAGATGTCAGCTTTCTGCAACTGATACACATGTCCACAGCTTTTCGAAAAGAGGTGGGTGCGTACGTAACCTGATCTGTCTCTAACGATTCTGGGTCCATGGGCATCAACTGCAGTAGTTCAAGTTCTGTGCCTTTTGGGTCGTCTGGCTTCCCTCCCAGTCTGGCTGTAGTTGCCTCCTTTTTTGGGGTGCCCACCTCTGACAGCCCCCTTGCTTCCCCTGTACTAGAGAAGAAACAAAAGAACTGCAGAACACAGTTGCTATCTAGGAGTGAATGAGGCTAAAAGCAAGAGGCAGGGAGGAGGAGAGGACCTGGCTTTGTGAGAGTTTGCCTAGATGTTGGGAGGGAATTTGGGTTTGGGTTCTGAAGTGTAGGGGAAATCCAACCTCCAGAATAATGATGGGTAATGGTGTGTGAAATTGCTTTCTATCCTGAGTTCTAATTCTTCTAATTTCATTCCAGATTTAATAAGAAAACTTCTTTAAAAAGGAGTGAAGACACTGAAAAGGGACCATGGAGGGTAGGGTGACAAGACTAAATCCCACAAAGAACTCTAATTCATTCTTTAATTTGCTCAAGACAGAATGTGTGCAAGCAATTTGTAAAATACACATCTTTTCAGAAGTTACCGGTATTAGTGGTGGGCTGTCCCATTAATCCCCAGGTGGAATTGGGATGTTGTTACAAAATGAACATTCCCCATCTGTTATATAGTGTATCATGCATAACCTACTACATTTAAAGAATGTGAATGTCATGAAATATGTTTACACTATATTGAATGACAATCTTTTCATAGAATTCATTTGTATAACCATTTATTAGGTATCTTTAAATATTTAGCCATATTTAATATGTATTTTCATACGTATTTATCTATACATCTTCTATGTGCCAGGTAGAGTTTTAGGCACTGGAGACTCAGCAGTGAACAAAACAGACAAAAGCTTTGCCCTAAAGAGGAATACATTGGGCAGAATTGCCAATTATGATAAATTTTATAATGTGCAGAATGTACAGGCTGTGAGGAGAAGTAAAGCAGCTCAAGGACATGAGGAGTGCCATGGCGGAGGGAAGGTCACATTGTAATTCTAAATAGGAGGATCAGCGCAGGCCTTCTTCAGAAGGTTACATTTGAGCTAGATACGCCCTGAAGGAAGTGAAGGAGCAAGCAAGCCATGCCACTGTCAGGGAAGAAAGTTCCAGGCAGAGAAGTAGGACAGTTCAAAGACCTGCCTAGAGTGTTCAAGCAACAGGGAGGAGGCTGACATCACTGCTGCAGGGGGGTGGAAGGAGAGAGAAGTAGGAGATGTTGGGGGTACAAAGGGGCAGGAACCTGGAGGGGCTTTTACTGGAGGGGATTGGAGAACTATTGCAGGGGTGTCAGCAGGAGCAGGATACAAATCTCACTCAGGCTGTAGAAAGATCACTCTAGCCTCTGTGTTTTATGGCTATTGCAACAGTCACAAGGTGAAGACAGTGAGAGCTTGGATCCAGGTGGTGGGCATGGCTGTGCTGACAAGTGATTAGATGCTGCATGTATTTCATACATAGAATCTGAGGAATAGGATGTGGGCTCTGAGAGAAAGAGATGTCACCAAGGCTCTGGGTCGTTGGGGTAAAGGGGACTGAGGTGGTTTTCCCTTCCCCTCTCTTTCTTCTGGTTTTTTACTTACTTTTTTTTTTAATAGTCATTTTTTAGGGCAGTTTTAGGTTCACAGCAACATTGGTCATTTCATTTTGAGGAAGGGGTGAGCTGTGGTCAGTTTAGAGCCTGTTAAGTTTCGGTGTCTAGTAGACAACCAAGTGTGGACATCAAGTAGGAGCTGGATCTATACGTCAAGGTTTTAGGGCATGGTGTGGGCTGGAAATACAAATTCCAGAGTTGTCAGTATGTAGATGGTATTCATAGCCGTGAGACTGGAGGAACTCCCCAGGGATGTGGTCAGTTATCAGCATACCCTTCCATCTGTGCCAGCAGATCTGAGTCCTTTAACAGTTTTCTTTTGCCAGGTGACACAGTGTTAGGCTTTGCCGGTAGAAGGTACTGATGAGGCATCGCAAGACGAATGGCTTCCTGTCTTGGGTTTGGTGTTCACCCACCAGGTTTTGGGGGGTGAGGGCACTTTTTGGTTTTTTCATCCACTTGCACAGTTTTCCCAGCTCTTGGTATCCCACGGTCTAGCTCTCCCCAGCATTTGGCTGCCCCACCCCGCCCCAGTGCTTTCCTAAGCCCTTGACCCGGTCGTGGCAATTTGGCTGCAAGCCCCAGACAGTGTGGGCCTCTACTACAACACAGACCACTGCTCCCTCACTTCCCTCCTCAGCCTACGCACCCCCATCACTCATGCTGGGAGGCAGGACTACCCTCCCATACGGCAGTCCAGCCATCTGGGCGGAGTCTGGCATAGAGGGGTACTGGGTCCCAGCAGAGCCAGGCCTTTCCAGCTCCCGCTTCCAGCAGTGCCTGCAATGGTCCCCATTGCCCTGGCACCCAGTCCCCTTTGTCCTACCAACCTCCTGCTATCCCATCATCAGCCCCAGCTCATCCACACCGGGGGATTTGTTTCCCATGGGCTTCCCAACACAGACACCCAATGCACATGTGCCTATCAGCCTCGGCTTACCTGCATCCCAGAGGGTTGTTCCCGCTTGCCCAGTGACAATGGGCCAACAAATTTCTCCTCCTTCCGGTGGGTTGCGGTTTCACCTTCTTCAGTGATGGCTGAACCCCCTTTCGAGCCCGTCCTTCTTCAAGCACTCTCCCTTGGCCTGAGCTGCCCCTTAAAGTTCTCTTGAAATCTTCACAATTAGTCTTCCAAAATGGCTTACTAATTCCTTATTTTAAACTCCTTTCATGTAAATTACTGTGTGATATCCATCACCTGGGTGGGCCCAAACTGACAGAGGAGTTGATAGTAAAGAGAAGAAGACTAGGGATTTGAACTCTGGGGCACCTCACTGTTAAGAGGTTGGGAAGAGGGACTAAGGTGAGACCGAGTAAGCCAAGTAGCCAAGGAAGGAGGAAAATCAAGAGAACGTGGCATTGTATCACTGGAGTCAAGCAAAGAACATGTTTACAAAGAAGGAAGTTGTCAACTATGTCAAAAACTGCTAGTTAGTCATGTATGATGAGAACTGAGCGTGAAACTCAGGATGTAGCAACATGAAGATCACTAGCAGCCTTCACAAAAGCAGAAACGTTAGAAGCAATCTAAAGAGTCCAGCTACCAACCTGTCACCCAAGGCAAGACTGCTTTTGAGATGCCCTTGACAGATCTTCCACCTAAATATAAACATCCGAATTTGCTTGCAATGTCACTATTCAGTTAATTTATTCTATTATGAACTTTAGGACTTTATATAATAAAATTTATATAAAAATAAATTTTTTCAAATGATCAGAGGCATCAGCTATTGTATAGAAAGCCATAGAATATTGAGATGTCCTCAGTATTGTATATATCAACTTAACTAATATTTATTGAGCATCTATTGTGTTGCAGGTATTGGTCTAGGAACTGGGATTATGGTAGTGAAATAGGGAAGCAAAGAGATTGCCATCATGAAGCTTCCATTCTGGTGGGAGACCAAAGTAATAAAATAGTGAACAAATACATAAGCTAGCGTGTTTTCAGAGTGGTATGTACAATGAAGGAAATAGAGTGAGTGCCAGGAACAGTAGGGAGTTACTTTGCAATTGTATAAATGTTTAGAAAAGTCCTCTCCAAAGAAATTTGAGCATTTGAACTGAGACCTAACTGTGGACAGTGGTGAACAAAAATCTGCACAAAAAGCATTCAGATAGAGCGTGTGACAAATGGGAGTTTTGTGTATTCAAGGGGCAAAAAGAGACCAAGACCTCAAGCACAGTGTGGAATCTGGGAAAGAAGTAGAAGATAAGATAAAAAGAGATGCAAGGGGAATTCTAGTTTCTGTCATGATGGAGCAAAAAGGGTGAGATTTACACTCCAGCCCTAAGCAATTAGAGAACTGGACAAATTATATATAAAACAGTGATTTTCAGATTTTGAACAACTTGCGGTTATAACTGTGATTCTTGAGAGAAGGGGAAAAAGAAGGCAATCCCTACAATTGCACTAGGTTATGACGGGGAGATCGTTTCCAGGCTTAAGTGCAGGGAGGGAGGAACCTGGACCCTGGAAGTCTTTCTAAGTTGAAGAGTCCAAGATCAGAGTTTAGGATGGTCAAAGTGTGGATGGAATTTGTGGGTCATAGTCCAGAGAAGAGAGGGCTGTGCCTGGAGACAACACAGGACACCTGCAGAGGTGTCCTCTCAAGTCTTTGGCTGAGTGTTGAGCTCAGTATTCATGAGAGGAAATTACCCAAAGCCAAGGAAAGAGCCACCAGAAAGGAGAAGGCAGAAGAGTCTCAGAGCCTTTAATAGCCAAGTGGAAAAGTCTTATGAAACACAAGGCATTGGATAGAATCCTCAGAAGGGTGTCACCTTAGTAGTGAAGCAAAATTAGCTGTAGACTAAAGGCTGTTCTAGACCTACACCAACAAGGATCGAAAGCAAACCTCAAAAGAATCCAACTGAGTACAAGTACTTTAACTGTGTACCAGAATGTAAAGGAATACAACAAAATCTGCAATCCATGCATAAAATTCACAACATCTAGTATCCAATAAGAAAAAATTACTAGAGGGGCGCCTGGCTGGCTTAGTCCGTGTGACTCTTGATCTCAAGGTCGTAAACTCAAGCTTCACATTGGGTATAGAGATTACTCAAAAATAAAATCTTAAAAAAAATTACTAGACATGCAAGTAAATGGAATATGACCCATAATCAGTAGAAATAGAAATAGACCCATAAAGTGGAGATGATGCAACTAGCAGCTCTTATAAATACAGTCCACGTATTCAAAAAGGAGAGAAAAACAAGATCATAAAGAGGAGAGAAATAGACGATGTAAAAAAGACCCTAATGGAACGTCAAGGGATTAAAAACACAGCATCTGAAATGAAAAACATATTGGGTGACATTAAAGCAGGAAAGCTCAACTTTGAAGACAAAGCAGTAGAAGCTAT